TTATCTGGCTGGTATGGAGATTAGTTTGGCTTTTAGATTATGTGGTTGTAAACTAGTCGATGGGATTGCTGTCCAGGGAGCAGTCTGCGCTGGGAAGTTGTCTGTAGTGTTGATGCCTACTGTTGCCTTTTCTCCTCCTGTTTGGTTGCGTTTATGTGCAGGATTTTTGCAGCTACTATGCTGGATTTTGTTGGGTCTTCTTTGGTGGTAGTTTTTGATGTACAGCTTGTGCAATTTTATCAAATGGCTTGCATTGTTTTTGTATTGCTGGTCTCTTTTTTGTATAGCCCTCTCTGAGGCAAGTTTGGTGGTTCTTGTGAATGTAAATCCATGTCTATTCTCCTGGTTTTGGTTTGTTTTGTTTCTTGGGCTTGTCCAAGGAGCTTGACTCTGTAGAGGTCATTTCTTGGATCCTCATTCTTTTATTCTTTATACAATTACCCTTTACCCAAAAAAAAAAAAAAATACTACAACGTAGTATAAAAATAGGAAATTTAAGAAATTGACTAACTTGTGTCTATAATAGAAGATCCTTGACTTAAAATCCTAAAGTTATCTTTTTAAGATTTGGTAATTACTTTACCCCTAATATCAGATCTTGATTTTACTTTTATGGAGATCATCGAATATTTAGAACATCTCTAATGATTCTCTTTATTTTAAAGAACACATTTTATATAAATAAAGAACATCTTCATTAATTTTTAAATATAAAGAACACAATTTTTATTCAAATTCAATAGACTCTTTAAATTTAATGAAGATGCTCTTTATTTTTAAGAAAAAGACTTAATAAGAGAGAGAATTAGTAAATAAAATGCATAGGAACTTGTAGTTTATTAATAAAAATTAGGATAGATAGTGAAATTTGACTCTCTAAATGTGGAGAGCTAAACTCACTCTCTAATTTATATTTTAAAGATAAAGAGTTTGTTGGACTCTTGTTTTTATGGATAGACTCTTTATAATAAAATGCTCTTAAAGCAGTTTCCATATAATTGAACTATACTTAATAAGTGTGCTGTAAGTGATAATCCATCAAATTTCTACCATTTATTTTAATATCTAAAACTCAATGGTAAGGGTATTTTTAAAACTTTAGGAGAATTTTTGTTATTTTATCATATGGGATTATGTTATCCCTTTTATAAATTATAAGCTAATGTCAATTTAGATAGGGGTGTAAACGAGCCGAGCCGAACTTTAAACTGTTCGAGCTCGGATCGACTGCTACAGTATTGAGCTTGGCTGAGCTTGAGATATTGAACTCGAGCTCAGCATAAAAAGCGAGCTCAAGCAGGTCGAGCCACCATGGCCGAAAAATGTAGAAGCCAAAAAACCAGAAGCCATAGTTTATAAACAAACGATTAAAAAAATGTTCTTTTTTTCTCTCTCTCTCTTTTCTTCCCGCTCTGTCTTTCTCTATTTTCTTCTTATCTTGTAAGTTTTCTTCTCTTTCACAAAGAGAGAGAAAGCTACCAGCAAGGACGCTGGCGGCTTTCTCTCTCTTTCCGTCTTCTTTCTTCTCTTTAACTTTTTTTTTCTTATCTCTTTTTTATTTCCCCTCTCTCTTTCGTTCTCTCTTTTCTCTCCTTTTCTTCTCAATCCAAATCTGTAGGGGTGGAGAAGGTAGGAGGTGATGATGAGGTGGGCTCGTGATAAGGAAGGGAAGGTAGAGGTAGGGTGGCCGAGATTGGGTAGAGAGGGTGTTGCCATGATAGGGGAAAAGTGTAGTTAGGGAGGGATCTGTTAAGAAATATAGGGTTATTTTGTTTTATTGTTTATTAAGGGTAGAATAGTCTTTTCAGTTTCCTTTGTTTAGCCTATATATAGTCTCTTTGTATTTAGGTTAAATCATTCTTTTGTATTCAATTGCATTGTGCAGTATCAATGAAACCCTCGCCTCCTCTTTTTCTTATTTCTTTGGATTGTTTAACATGGTATCAGAGCCAGATTTCATGGGACGAGGCTTAATCTTAAACATAGGTTACGCGGATCCAACTTTATCATGGTATCAGAGCCACGTTTGTTTCTCTCCCCTCTTTGATTGGGGCGATGATGGGTTTGGACTCCGACCTTGCACGCCGAGCGTGAGGGAGGGTGTTAGAAGTTGAATTTATCCCACATTGCCCCAATAGTGGGCTGTTATAGTGCATATAAGTGATTGGGCACGCTCTTCATTTGAGTTAGCTTTTAGGAGTAAGTTCTTCCCAAGCCTACTTTATCAGGATCTACATTGGACGTGTAGGAATCGGTAGCTTAGTTGAGAATCATCTCTGGATTGTAATTGGATTTAGGTTTCAATTTTATTTTTGAATTTGGTTTATTTTTGAATTTGGGTATATGGGGTGTGTTTGTTATTTTTCAAACTGAGAAATTTCATAGACCCCCTTCATAGTTGTAAAAGTATCATATATCCCCGAGCTCACTAAAGCTTGCGAGTTTGGCGAGCCGAGAATCGGGCAGCTTGAACTGGACTTGCCTGCTAAGTTGAGTCGCTCGAGTCGAGCCCGAGCTAATTTAGATTCAAAAATTAGAACTAATTTATTTCAAATTAAAACAAACGGTAACTAAAAGACTTATAAAAGTTTATGAGTTTGATATTATCCATAATAATGAATTCAATTTCTGTTGGGTTTCTCTTTCAATGTTCTGAAAATCGGACCGGACCGCCCTATCGGACTGGTTCGACTGGCAACCGGTGGCAAATCCGGTTCGGTATATATAAAAAACAGTTATTTTGATTTAAACCGGATTGGACCTTCGGAATAGTGCCGAATCGCGGTCCAATCGCAGTTAAATCCCGCCGGATTCCAGCATCTTTCGAAGGAGAAAACACCCCCATTCGACGTGACGGCATCTTCACGACCAAACCCATCCATTTTCAATCGCCGTCGTCCAGCCTTCGTTGATCACCGTCCACCTAAAGTTTACGCGACGTCGAATTTCTTTTGTTGATTCCGGCAAGTTCCGACACCGATGGAACTCCCTAGTACCACCATCAGAGTCGCCGACACCTACACATCAAAGGCCCCAAGATTCCAGCTTCGATTGGCCGTCGATCATCGCTACTGCCACCACTCACCAGAATCTTCGCGCGATAGGGGTGTTTTAGATAGATTTCAAACCTTAAGGGAGTATCATAAGGGTGTTTTTGATGAATTTCAAACCTTTAGGGACTAACATGTAATTTTACAAATTACGGTCCAACTGGTCAAACCGGAAACCAGACCCTTGAACGGGTCATTGTCCGGTCCGGTTTTCAGAACATTGTTCTCTTTCGCTAGAAGTTCTTAACTTTTTATTTATTAATGAAGATGGTCAAAATAACCTTAATTTGATTATGAAAGAGTTAAGGGCATCTTTGACATTCTATTTTAAAAATATGTATATTTTGAAATTTATTATTCATACCCTGAATTGGGCTTTCTTTGTATGGGTCCATCAAACCCGAATTTAGCCCAAAACTAGGTTTGGATTGGCTCAGTCTAATTTACAATTCTAAATATTCTTATTCAAAATTAATTGCACAACTAGTAAATGAAAAAAAATAAAAAATCATATTTAGATACTTTATGCAAACTTATGCTACCTTATTGTGTGGATGACACATGATTTATTTAAGCTTGGTAAAATTTAATCTTACTGGTAAAATTTAATCTTACTTTTTACCTGATTCTTATATGAGTCATATCAATTCGAATATTTATATAGTTTTCATGAACAATAGTATAAGTCAAATAAAAAAATAATAAAAATGTAAAGAGCATCCCCAAATGTGCGGAGATCCTAAAAACTTTCATCTCTAGCTAAAATACCATTTAAAAGAAAACACAGCCTTCGATTGGTAATTGTTAAGCTGGTCTTTTTTTTTAATTATTCCAACTTGGAGTTAAATAATATTAATAATCTTATAATCTATTTTATTTTTAACGATAATAATCTGAAAGATGATACGAGGGAATACTCTCAACTACTATGCCTAGCTAGACACGATCTCGTGTCCATATATAATTTAAATAAAAATTATTGGTCACATGCTTCACACTCATAATAATAGTATACTATATAAAAATGTTAAATATAAATATCAATATATCAAACCTTGAAATGCACCCTCTTGACAGAAACATAGCAACATCATAATATTTATATTTACATTCAAGTTTATCACAGTAGTTGTTAACTTCATATGATTTTATTCTAAAATTTTTACATCTCTTTCGTAAACCTGTAATTATATTTTAACTTCAAATCAAACAACTCCATCTTGAGAGCTTTTTGAATTATTTTTTTTAAATCAATCATAACTGGTATTTCATAAATTATACAAACAGTAAGTTTATCACCTGGATTGCCAGAGATGATTTACGTTTTATTTATTTATTGCAAAAAAATTCTACCTATTAAAAGGAAAGCATGTAGTAAAAGCTAATGAAGTTTCAGAGAAGGAAACACTTTAGACATGGGTAATTTGGAATTAAATTTTTTTAACAAATAAAATTAATTTTGAAATTTACAGAAAAATTTGAAAGGAATTAAATAATACAGTCATTGTAAAATTGGGGTCTTAATCTTCAGGCTAGGCTTGGATTCGACAAAATAAACTAATTTGAAACTATTTTGTAACATGTGATAAATCAACAAAATCGAGGTCTGAGATTCCTTGACAAAAAGGAATAAAAGGAGAGTGTTCTTGCACTTGGATTCCAAGCTCTTCAAGATTGACTTTCTTCCCTACAATACATTTTTTTACTTAAACTTGCATTAATTCTCTTTTGCTGTATACAGTTTTTCTTTTAATTTTAAATATAAATTTTGTTGACATTATAGTGCTGCTAATAGTTATTAAAATATTTACTTTAACTCAAATCAATACCATAATTGATCCAATGAATTATTTCAAGATTTTTATATTACATAAATTACAGTAAAAATAAAATATAAATACATCGCTTTTGAAAATTGGTTCGCATCTTGGCTTTTTCTTTCTTCGGAGATAACGTTTTTTATTTAACTTTTCTATTTGTTGGTGCCTTCTCAAAAGATAACATCATCAAATATAGGGGAAACGACAAGGTTTGGAAAAATGACAGATTGGTATCCAAAAGGTTTCAAAATGATAAACAGGTACCTTCTGTTAGTGAAAAGACTAGAATGCCCTTTGAGAAATATTAGTCTATTTTTTTAATTACTTTAGACCCCTTAAGTTTATTAATTCCATCAAATACCCCCAGAAAAAAGTTTAAAAATTAACAAAAACACCTCCACCCACCCATACTTGCCAGATTCTGGTGGCCACCGCTGGTTGTAGCCGGAATCTGTTACAACGGTCTATGCCACCACTAGAAATGGTCGATAATTCACCGATCTGGCCTTTTTCGGCCAGATCTACGGCCAGATCTAGCCGTCGATGGCCGCAACACTCCATCTTTGGCCGTCGTTGTCTGTCAACGACGGCCATTTCTTTGGCCGTCGGTTTCCGACCAAATTTGGCCTTTTCACGTTAGATCTAGCCTTTTCTGGTTAGATCCATGGTAGATCTGGCTGGAAAAGGCTAAATCTGTGAATTACCAACTATTTATGGTGGTGGCGTAGACTGTTGTAACAGATTCTGGCTACCACCGGCGGTAGTCATCGGAATCTAGCAAGTATGGGTGAGTGAGGGTGTTTTTGTTATTTTTTAAACTTTTTTCTGGGGGTATTTGATAGAATTAATAAACTTTAGTGGTCTAAAAGTAATTAAAAAAATAGACTAATATTTCTCAAAGGTCATTCTAGTCTTTTTACTAACGGAAGGTACTTGTTTATCATTTTGAAACCTTTTGAGTACCAATCTGTTTTGTTTTACCAAACCTTAGGTAGGTATAAGTCGTTCGGCCTCAAATATAAAATAGCAATAACGAGAGGAGAAACAGAGAAAACCAGAAGAGAAACTAATTTTCATTGATGGGTGTGATAAAGGCAGCCATCGGAGATGCCGTGTTCACAGCCATGTGGGTGTTTTGCTCGGCGCTTCGGGGGATTTTGACTCGCATCATTTCAACATCTTTCGGTCTTCAAGACTTTTTTCCAGTAAAACTATTCATCAGCACCACTTTGGCCACTATCTTTATAATAACATTCATTTTCATCGGCAAGCTCTTGGGTGGTGCCAGCTTCAATCCTTCCACCTCTCTCTCCTCCTACACCGCCGGCCTTAAATCGGACTCGTCTCTCATCTCCGTCGCCGTCCGGTTTCCTGCTCAGGCCGCTGGTGGAATCGCAGGTATCAAGGCAATTTTGCAGGTAAACCAGAAACCTCAATTCCTAAATCCTTTAATAAAAATCTGTTAATTAGTAAAATATTGAATATCATACAGCAGGGACGTTGCCAGTGGGTGGCTCCCCTGGCTCCGGTCCCGGTTGAAAATGCTGGAAAAAGATAAAATTTTAATTAAATTCTTAATTATATATACACTATTTAGAGTGTTTTCATTATTATTATTTTTTTAAATCTCTTAACCCCAATAAAAAAATTATTTCTTTTCTTAATAAAATTATAATAGGTTCAATTTATTATATATATATTGTTTTTATTTCTCATCTTTTTCGAAACAAATTATGATTTATGCATAAGTATAAACCTTTCAATAACGCACTTTATTCACATCAAAGTGTGAGATAATATTTCATTTTAAGTATACTTTTTTCTAGCCCTCCAGAAACTAATTCCTGGTTTCGCCCCTGCTTACAGATGATGCCGGCAGAATACAAGGGTATGCTCAAGGGGCCCTTTCTGAAAGTGGATTTGCATAGTGGAGCCATAGCTGAAGGGGTGTTGACCTTTTTGTTTTGCCTTTCATTGCTTGTTATTATGCAGAAGGGTCCGAGAAACCTAATTTTGCAGGTCTGGTTGTTTTCATTATCAACTGCGGGATTAGTTCTTGCTGGTTCTGGATACACTGGACCTTCCATGAACCCAGCCAATGCCTTTGGGTGGGCATATTTTAACAATAAGCACAACACTTGGGAGATGTTTTATGTTTATTGGATTTGTCCATTTATTGGGGCAATTTTGGCTGCTTGGTTTTTCCAATTTCTTTTTCCCGCAAAAACCAATAAGCAGAAAAAAGCCTAAGAATGTAAAAGAAAACTTCAGATATAATGATGAATTACTTCATGTTTTTGTCCCTATATAATTTCTTTATATTATCTTGATGATGGTGTCAGGTGTATATTATCTTGATGATGGTGTCAGGTGTTAATTGAATTTCTAAAGTTCTCTAATTCTCAATCATGACTTTTCACATTTTCAAAGTATAAAAAATATCAGATTTATTTTTCAAAAAATAAACTTATACATTTTTCTACATTTCTTCTTAGAGATGGCAATGGTTTCGGTATTTTCAAGTACCCGGCCCGGCCTATCCCGAAAAGGTTGGGCTTTATTTGGTGTTAGCGGGTTTAGGCTTGGGCTTGGGCCTAAGACTGATTTTAAGGCCCGCCCTTGGGTACGGGCTAGGCATGGGTATATCTTCAGTCCTGGCCCGGCTTAGCCCAACCCGACAATTTTACGAAATTACCCTTATACTATATATCTAATTACAGAATTATCTTACATATATATAAAAAAAATTGAAATTTATTAATATTTGGTGGGTATTAAAAAATAAATTAATATTTAAAAACTATTTCTAGAATTTAAAATATAAAAAATTGAAATTTATTAATATTTAAAAATTCACATTATAAAAATGGGCGGGCTTGGGTTGGGACTGAGATTACAAAAAGCCTGTTGGGCCAGGCTTGGTCTTTACCCGTCATCCCCGTGACAGGCCTAGGTCGGGACTGGGCCTTTGTCATGGGGTTGGGCTTGGGCTCGGGCCAAGGGGTACCCGATCCCGGCCCGACCTGGCCCATTGCCATCTCTATTTCTTCTCGCATCATCAATGAACGTCACATAGTACTTTGAGGCTCTAAGGGATGACATGGGAGCAGGTCCCCACACGTCTGCATGAACCAACTCCAACTTCTTTACCTTCAGTTCCTTTGCTACTTTGGAAAAACTCACATTTTTCTGTTAGCTGAAGATACAACTTTCACATAAACTGTGATCAATTGACTTCAACTCTAGTAGTTTTCCCTTTGATTAAAGCTCTTTCATTCTTTTCACGCTTATATGCCCAAGTCTATAATGTCACAAACTTGAGGTAACACTAGCATTTACTATTACAACTAAATTTCTAAGACTACCGTGGGTCATTTATTAAGTTTTCATGCACCACCCATAAATGACACACTATGGCCTTCGTCGTCAAGCTACCCTATTGATATTAGATTACACATAAATCTAGGTATATGACTTACTTTCAGGATTTTCCACACATATCCATTCGTCATCAACCTAACATCACATATACCTACAATATCTAAAGGTTCTCCATCTGCTAGGTATACTTTTTCATGATTTCTATCCAAATAATTTTCTAGAATTTCACGGTGTGTATTGGCATGAAATGAATCTTCTGAATCTAAAACCCAAGAGTCAATAGGACTATCAACAAATAAAAGTGAAGCGTCTTGTAACTCTTCAATTATGGCATTAGCGGTGTCGTATTGTTGTTCTCCTCTTTCTTTGGTACTTTGCAATTCCTCTTATGTGACATGTATTGTCACAATTCCAACACTCTATCTTTCTCCCAAACTTGGATTTGCTTCTTTTGTTCCTTGATTTTGATCTTGCTATGCCTCGATGTGAATTTTTATCGTAGCCCATACCTCTTGTTTCGACATTCAAAGTATTCAATGTTGTCTCAATTGAATCTTTTCTAGAACCTCCTTAGCAAGAATTTTATCCTTGACATCGGTGAGTTTTAATTTCGCACTACCTGTTGAATTACTAATTGTTGCCCTTATGGACTCCCAACTACTTGGTATGGAGCTAATAAGAATTAGGACATAAACTTCTTCACAAAAATCAATTTTTACAGATGAGAGTTAATTAATGATTATATTAAAATCATTCATATGCTCTGTCACGGAAGCACCTTCTCTCATTTTCAAATTAAATAATCTTTTCATAAGATGTACCTTGTTATTCGTATAAGGTATTTCTCGCACATATCAGACAAGATCTCCTTCAACCTTATTGTGGTTGTCTCATTTGTCATGTTACTTGTCACGTTCTTGGTCAATGTCAATCAAATGACTCTCAATACTTCTCTATCAAGGAGTGCCCAGTCTTATCTGACATCTCTTCGGTTTCTTTCCTAAGAAAGGTATATTTATTTTCTGCCATACAAATGATCTTCAATTTGCATCTTCCAAAATGCGTAATCTATTCTACCAAACTTGTTGATCCCAAGCACATATCCTCTTTCTTCTCCAACCATTGCTTTCTTCCTCAAACCTGGGCTTTGATACAGTTGTTGTGGGCATTTAATAGATGCTAGCAAATCATAAATCCATTTGAAGAAAATAAAGCAAAGGACAAATAATAAAAACCACACACAAGCAAAGATTTATAGTGGTTCACTTTCTATATGAGAGCAATGTCTATTTGCCGTTGCAAAATCTCACTATAAAAGAAAATTTCAAGAGTCTCTCACAAATCTCACAAATTAACTCTCTCACTAAACCTCTCTTTGGTGGTGCTCACTCTTTAATTGTGGTCTTGTCTTTTATTGTATTCAATTGTCTAACTCTAAGATTTAATCTTTTTTATAGGTAATACAAGATACTATTCCTAATTGGACTCAAACTTCATATCCTATTAGGGATTTTATTTTAATTCCTAATACAATTATATTCCTATTCTTAATTATATTCCTAAAGAAAAACAATTCTATATAAAAACATATTAGGAAAACCCATGTCCTAATGCAATACTAATTTGGATTGAACTTAGCTCCACAATCTCAATACACGTAAGAACACAACCAAAGCCACAAGAAGAAGGACCAATCCCATCAAATTAACTAGCAACAAGAGGCAAGGCATTTTTGCTCAATTTTCACAAGAATCTTGCAAAATGGAGATTTTCATGTTCTTGGAAAAGAAAATGAGGTTATAGCTCTTATCTTCCCTAGGAGATCAATGCCATAAGACTTACTGATCTTCTAAAATACAAAAACATGCAGCAAACATTGAAGTTCAATGGCTAAAATTTTAGGGCATGTTCAGTTATAAACTCAGCATTTTATATTTGCTTTTTTTAACCTTGGGATTTGTGAGAACAGTGTTTGTTTACCCTTTCTTACAAAATCCAACCCAAAAATATTGAAAAAAAGACTAAGGAGAGAGAGAAAGATGGTGACTACAAGTTATTCTTTCACTTAAATTCAAGCACTAATAAACAATCTTTTGTACCATCTGCATCATTTGAGGTTACTTATTCCACTGCAAATCAGTCAAATTCATCACATTCAATTGTTGCAAGTGTTTTGTCACCAGTGTATACATCTATCTTTACTGGTGATGATGTGGTTGTACCTGATATTCCCTTTCTAGGAAGAATTCATCCTATGACTACTCGTCTCAATCATACACGGTTTTTACAACATTGCTTAATTTAGCTGTTATAAATCCACAAGAACCTAAATAGTCACTAAAGCATTAGCATTACTTTACTGGCTAGTTGTTATGCAAGCTAAGTTTACTGTATTATAGAACAATCACACTTGGGATTTAGTACAATACAATCCATGTTTGAATGTTATAGGTAATAAACAGGGTTATAAAGTGAAATACAATGCAAATGGCAGTGTTCAAAGGTGTAAAGCTAGGTTGGTGGCTAAAGGTTTTTAACAAATGGTTGTTTAGATTATGCAGAAACCTTTAGTCTAGTTATCAAGCCTGCTATTGTTAGAGTAATTTTGACTTTATCTATTAGACGACAGTGGAAAGTTCGACATCTTGATGTAAATAATGCATTTCTTAATGGTGAACTTTAAGAGATAGTGTATATGGCACAATCAGAAGGTTTCATTAATGCTGATACCTTTTTATGTTTATAGATTGTCCAAAGCTTTGTATAAACTCAAACAAGCTACTACAACTCGGTTTAGGAAGCTTAAAACAACTCTTCTAAGATGGGGATTTGAAGCTTCAATGTCAAACGCCAATTTATTTCATTTTCATAACAATGATCATGTGATTTATTTGATGGTTTATGTTGATGATATATTGGTAATAGGTGATGATGCACACTTGATTTCCTAACTTATTTTAGATCTTAATATCAATTTCTCTTTGAAGGCATTAGGCTTCTTGAACTAGTTTCTTGGTATTGAAGCTTTTAGAGATAATTCTGGATTGTACATCATAGAAGCAAAATAGATCAAGGATCTTTTGAAGAAAAACGATCAACAATCTGCTTGATGCAAATATCAATCAACACTTATGGCTTTTGATTGTAAACTGGCTTTAAATGATAGTAAGATTTTCTCTACTCCTCATATCTGTAGGAGCACTTTAGGTGCTTTACAATACTTTAATAGTAGTAAGATCTAATATTACCTTTGTAGTAAACAAGCCTAGTTTGTATTTGAAAGCTCCTATAATGCCACATTGGCAAGCATGCAAAGAGCTACTTTGATATCTCAAAGGCACAACAAATTGTGGTTTACATATTAAAGCTACTATTCCACTTATTTGAGAAGGTTATACAAATGCTGGCTGGGCTAGTAATCTTGATGATAGAAGGTCAACTAATGGTTTTGTTTTTACCTTGGTGGCAACCTGATTTAGTGGAGCTCTAAAAAGCAAGTAGTTTAAGATAGGTCATTGTTAGGATATGAAATAAAGTGAAAATGTTGACTAGTTTAACTAATTAGGTGACTTAGTTGACTGTTTTGATGTAAGAATGGTTAGCTATTCTGTTACATTCAATTCAGTTTTCGTTACAATACTCAGTGTATAAAAACTGAACAATCCATTGTTTCTTGTTAAGGAAATGACAAACTTTTTCCCTCCTAAATTTTTCTTTCATTTTCTTTCATTTCTCGCCTACTGTTATTGTTCATTTGGTACAAAGCCATTGACAACATCATCAATGGCTGATTCCTCTATATTCCTTCTTCATTTAACAATCCTGACAAAAATTCCAGCTTTAAAACCTCTTAAGACCTGTTAATCTCATCAATCATCTTCAATGAATTCGTCCACACTTCCAATAATTTCACCAAAGTTAACAT